TATAGCCATCACTCTTTACCATATGATAAATTGTACTGTGTCCTGTTTCAAATGGATTTAAGTGCAGGCAAAATCTCCAGCATGATTGATTATTCTGCTGTTTCTTTCCAAGAATACTATTCGACCAATTACTTAGCATAATGGATAATCTTTCTCTTGGGAAAGATTTGGGATCTGTACTTCTTCAAGGATTTTTTTCCCCCAACAGTTGCGTTGTCATGTGAAAGAACTAGCTAGCAATGCAATCCCAAGTCCCTCCCGCAAACCCAATGTGCTTAGTCCCTGTTAAGTTTGTTTAGGTGATGTTGCCTAGAAATTCCTTTAGTTCTGTGGAACTAAAACAATTGAGCCTGTTCCAGATAGTTGATATACACTGGTAACATTTCCTTTTATGAAATGAACAACTGTCTGCTCACCCCAAATGGACCATTCAAATGCATTGCTGCTAGTATGTAAGCCTACTCTACTATTGATATTTCTCCACCATCATTTCCATGTGATAGGAGTAGGAATCATTGTGGCCTGCCAGACATTAGACTGCATCTCCCATCATTCTTCACATGGTTATGTTGTAATGGGAGTTATAATCTGATAACATCTGGATATATCCCTTTACCCCACCACGTACCATTTCCCACTTATATAATTTGCACAAGCAACACAGCTGCGGGACTCCCATCTGTAATAATCCACTTTAATTGTTAATGCCTCATTCCCAGTTTTTCAGATATAATAGCACAGATTGCTTTTAATAGGACTACAGAATTTATGGTTTTCCATAAACTGATAAATGTCTGCTCCCATCATTTCTCACCATTGGACTGGCTGATAGTGGATAGTGAAGACTTCGGTCAATAACATTTGGGAGGCCACATGTTCTCTAGCTAAGGCATAGAGCAGCCTCTCTTAAGCTGGTGTCTGTCAGCTATTTTAGACTGCAGCTCCCATAATTTCTGACCATTTGTCCTATTGATTGGGGTTGGTGGCAGTTCAAAACATCTGGAAGGCACCAGTTTGAGGAAGGCTGCCCTAGAATGTTATGACACCTTCCATCTAAAACAGGAGTGCTAAGTAACATCAGAGATGAGCAATTGATTGGAATATACTTGCTCAAAACTTCCTAGATCATTCATAGCCACACTGATGTGCCAACAATTCAAAACTAGGGTATAATCTTTCAGATGACCAGACAAAAGTAGTGGCATTCCCTGCAACAGCTATTAATTATGGCTCAGATTGTTGATTTTTACCCATTGCTCATAACAATACAAGATGCTTATACTACACAAGCCTGACTACCACACACACACCCTTTTGCCATTGTACATACATGCACACATGTATCTCAAAGTGTTATTTTTTTAAGAGCACCCTTTTCTGTGCATTCAATTGGCTTAACTCTTGTAATTTAACTGTTGTAATTTAGAGGAGGGGAGACAACTGCAAAACCTTCCATAAATCTCTACAGTTTGATAAGTAGAATAGTCTAAAATTATGGAATTTCTGTAGGTCTTCCAGTTCTTTAAATTGCTCTCAGAGACATTGACCATCATGGAATCCTTTCAGGCAGACATTGGAAAAGGTACTATTCTGGATAACAACTTTATTGAGTGTAAAAAAATGACCACTGTTGCCATACTAGCTTGGGGGAATATGGAAGTTGTTATTGTTGCTATGTCCCTGACTTACGCAGACCCTAAAATGACTCCGTCATGAGGTTTGCTTGGCAAGATTTGTTCCAAGAGGTTTTCCTTTGCCTTCTTCTGAGGCTGAGAGAGTGTGACTTGCCCTTGGTCACTAAAAAGGTTTCCACATTGAGCAAGTATTTGAATCTTGTTCTCCCATGTATTCTAGTATAACACTCAAGCCACTACACCATGCTGGCTTTCTTCTGGAACATAGCGTCCCCAAAAACAATTTCATCAGTTTTTGCCCATCTGGGAGTTCTTTCAGTTCTAAATTAGTGCCTGTTGACAATAATGAACTGGATGAGGGCAAATTTAGATTAAGCCAGGCGAGACAGAGGTGTTCCTGCTCCATTGATAGGTAAATAAGAGAATGGGGATTCATCCTGTTCTGGTTAGGGTTACACTCCCCCTGAAGTCACAGGTTTGTAGTTTGGGTATACTCCTGGACTCAGCCTTGAACCTAGATGCTCAGTTTTTGGCAGTGGCTGCATTTGCTCCATTAAAACTAATGTGCCAACTGCATCCATTCCTAGGGACATCTCATGTGGCCATGATGGCATATGCCTTATTAGGATTATTTTAATGTACTTTTCATGGAGCTGCCTTTGAAGAATCATAGAATTATAGAATCATAGAATCATAGAGTTGGAAGAGACCACAAGGGCCATCCATCCAACCCCCCCTGCCATGCAGGAACTCCCAATCAAAGAATGTTTGGAAATTTCAGCTGGTCCAAAAAGCTGCAGCCATATTAATAGAGCTAGTTACAGGAGTGCATGGCTTCTAATGTTACAACCTATTCATTGGCTGCCAATCTGTTTCCAATTGCAATTGGAAAGTCTTTTGCACATGAAAAAGAGGGCTGCCTTTAAAGGAGTATAATCACCCAGATTGTAGATTATGTGTATAAAGCCCTGGCCTAAACTGTTTGGGTCCTGGCTATCTGAAAGAACATATCTTTCCATATCAGCCTGCTGAAGCTCAAAAGACTTTGGAGAGGCATTTTTCTTGACTCCACCACCTTCACAGGCACATTTGGTGGGAATAAAAGAGAGGACCTTTTCTGTGGCTGCTCCTGGACTTTTTAATTCCTTTTCTAGGGAAACTAGTTTGTTCCCTCCTTATTGTTCTTATATCAGCACCTTCCTGTTCCACCAGGCATTTGGGAACTAGCTGTTTACATGTAGGGACTTTATGGTTTAGTGTGTTGCTCTATTTCTTATTTCACTTTTAATGTTTTAGATTATTTTAATTGTAGGTCTCGTTCACTGTTATTTTTGTATGGTTTTAGCGACACGTATTTCTTGATTTTATGCCTTTTTATCTTGCAATGTACCTGGAATTTTGGGGAAAAGGCGAAGTATAAATAAAGTGGTTGATTGGGACTTGAAGACTAAATAGTAACTATTCCAAACTTTGACTTTAAAAGGACTTTCTAATTCCTTCTGTATCACCTTTCATTTGATCATTGATGGAGGTAGTTAGGTTGCCTCTTCCCCATACATGGAAGATACCATAGGACCTCATCACTGAAAGATTTTGCTTTTGTCAACCTATTGGAAGCAAAGCCCTTAAACAGGATTAGGCTGAATTGCAGCCTAATGCCTTTGCAGACTGCCAGAAATAGTGCAAATTGAGGCCACTTTAACTGCCCTGACTCAGTGCTAGGGAATCATGGGAACTGTAGCTTATTGTGGCACCAGAGCTCTCTGACAGAGAAGGCTCAATGTCTCAGAAAAAAATACAATTCCCATGATTCCCTAGCACTGAGTCAGGACAGTTAAAGTGGCCTCAATTTGCACTATTTCTAGCAGACTGCAACATGGAAAGAAAGAGAATCTGATAGAACAAGGGCTGTAATTTACTTATTGTAGCTCAGACAAATGCATGAGAATAAAAATGTGAATTCTCTTTTTAAAATCTATCCATAGATTATGTAACAATAATATATTGGTCTCACAAAGAGCAACTGACAGTCTCAGTTCAATTATAACATTATGATATATTTCATCATCTCTTTGTGGCACAAGCAGACTCAAATGCTTTGCCATAATTACTGGTCCTCCATTTCAATACTGATCATTTCCTCCTACCAAACAAATTTATCTCTGGATCAGCCTTGAATTTTAGTACAAAACCTGGGGGATGGTGAAAGGGGAAGAACAGAAAATTAATTTGTTTCTCAGCTATGTCGTAGCTGTGTGCCTTCAAGTCCCTTTTGACTTATAGTGACCCTAAGGTTAACATATCACAACGTTGTCTTGGCAAGTTTCTTCACAGGGAGTTTGTCATTGCTTTCCTTTTCATGTCAAATTTATTTGTAGTCTAGCTCGATTAAATCTTAAGAAAACATTAAATTCTCCCACACAATAATTGTTAAGTGCCTCTTTGTTTTGCTCTTAAAATATATATATGGCTATTTGCAAATGAAATTACTAACCCCAAACTATGAGATGTTGCAAACATGAACACTACCAAACACATTTAGAAGTATGCTACAGTCGGTTATGACTAGACATTCATGTCAAGGGACTACCTTTACCATTATCATGATTTTAGAGAGGTTTCCATATGCTGGGCCTAAGATTGGAAAGAAAAGCCATATTGGAAGCAACCATGCTGAACTTTTATTCATAATTTCAGTGGAAGTGCCATGTTATTTTTGCACCTGCATGAGTACACCTACACCAGTTTCTAGATCCTGGTACAATACTGAAAGAGTGATCAGTATTACCTGAGACGAATCCCATTACAAGCCCCTCTTGTAGTCCAGTTGAGCAATACAGCTGTAGCAGGAATAGCTGTCATGAGGATGAAGAATATCTCTAGATGTTGGATTGCAGCTTCCACGATTCCTCACCATTGGCTATGCTGACTAGGGTTGATGAAAATTGCAGCCCAACATCTGGAGGGATAGGTCCCTGAACTATATGATCATTGTCTGGAGTTCAGTTCCATTGTTATTTCACCAGAGGTTGTATTTTGGATTGTTACCCAGGCCCATAGCTGCTCTTTCTATGATAGCAGATAGCTGTACAAAGTAGTAACTAGGCTGGAGTCCAGTAGTATGAGGAGCCTGACTGTTCAGATGTTGGGATCTCCAATTCCCACTGGCCCTTGATGGCTAGTATTCATGGTACATGGAATTCAGCATCTGGATTGCCACAAATGCCCTGCTTTGCTATAGATAATGACTATTATATACTGCATTGCAGGCATGTGTAAGCACTGTCACTGTTGTTGTGTGCCTTCAAGTTGTTTCCAACTTATGGTAACCCTAGAATGGGTATTTCTTTTTAAGACTTGTTTCCATGGTGGAGTGGAGAATTGAACCCTGGTTTCTAGAGTCGTAGTCCAACACTCAAACCACTATGCCACACTATCAGAACAATCTCCTCTGCGAATGAGTACTTCAGCTCTGCAACCTGGGTTCTGTTTTGTTTTTGACAACTGAAATGTGAAATGCCCTGATGTTGCTATTTGAGGTCTTTTAAATTTAATTATTAAAATTTGTATTCTTTCTGCAAAAAAATGTGCTCAAGATGGCTAAAAAGTCACTATTTTATTTCTCTATTAATGGTGAGTAACCAAAAGACATAGTATATTAATTTAAATTGTTTTCAATTATTTATTTAGTGCCATCAGCGCACAAAGCACTTTAGATGAGCAGTTTTCAATCTAAAAAGACACAACATTCAAGGAAAAGGGGATGGCAGTGAGGGAAGGCATTAAGTCAGTAGCTGGCTGCTGTTCTTTCCCTCCAAAGCTACAGCAATGGCAGCTGGGATGGAGGGAGAGCCTTTCTTGTTTTCAGTATATTTGTTGTTGTTGTTGTTGTTGTGTGCCTTCAAGCCATATTTGACTTATGGCATCTGTAAGAGGAAGCTATCACAGGGTTTTCTTCGCAGAATTGGTTCAAAGGAGGTTTGCCATTGCCTTCCCCCGAGTCTGAGAGCATGTGACTTGGCCAAGGTCACCTAGTAGCTTGCCATGAACAAGCGGGGATTAAAATTCTGTTTTCCCAATGTCCTAGTCCAGTGTTTCCCAAACTTTGATTTTCCAGATATTTTTACTTCAGTTTCCACAATTCTTGATTGTTGGTCAAACTGGCTAAAACTTCTGGGACTTGAAGTCCAAAACACATGGAGGACCAAAGTTTGGGAAACACTGTCCTAGTTGAACTCTCAAACCACTACATCATGCTGGCTCTCTTTTCAATATATTAAGAAATATTAAAAATCATTTTACTATAGGCCTCAGGAGAACTCTGTCCTTAAAAAATTAAATTGACTGTTGCTAGTAAGAAATACTACAGGGCGGTATTGTGTAAACTGCCACCTACTGTACAAAATATAAATGACATTTTTGAAGTGTCGACCTCAGCTTCAACAGAAGTAGACTGATTTTTTAAAGTATAACTTTTTTAAAAGTAGATTTAATGGAACCAGTTTTAAGGAAGCTGTTTAATTTATAAACACCTTGCCAGAATTTGTAGCAATTGGCATTAGCTGTTACATTCCATTACTTTATGAGCAATGCATTTTTTTTTTACAAAAATGTACTTTAAAAACAGAAAAGTAGGCCCCAAATTCCCCCAAATCAGCTCCCCATTTTTTTAGAAGTAATTAGTAAATGTCACTCATTATAGTTTTTAAAAAGAGAGGGCATTGCACTACTTCACAAAAACATCATTATGCCTGTTACCTTCAAAAGTAACCTACTGAGGTAATATTAGTTATAGTGTTCTACTTCTAATGCCAAGCTTTGCGCATTACTCATGAGAACAAAGGAGGAATGTTTCAAGATAATTAAGAAATAAATTCAATATGAAAAAAAAGCATACCCATCAGCACCCAACCGATAGTAAGCAAAGTATGAAAGCAAATATAGTTCCATGAATGGCAGAGTTTCTGTGGGTAGGACTGGGATACAATCACAGAATCATAGTTTTAGAGCTGGAAGAGACAAGAGCCATCCAGTCTAACCCCCCTGCCATGCAGGAACTCACAATCAAAGCACCTCTGACAGATGGTTGTCCAACTTGTTTAAAGACATCCAAAGAAGGAGACTCCACTACTCTCCAAGAGAGTGTGTTCCATTGTCAAACAGCCCTTACTGTCAGGAAATTCTTCCTAATGTTGAGCTGGAATCTCTTTTCCTGGAACTTGCATCCATTGCTCCAGGTCGTGTTCTTTGGAGCAGCAGAAAACAAGCTTGCTCCCTCCTCAGTATGACACCCCTTCAAAGACTTAAACAAGGCTATCATATCACTTCTTAACTATCTCTTCTCCAGGCTAAACATACCCAGCTCCCTAAGGGCCTTTGCAGACTGCTAGAAATACACTAGTGCAAATTGAGTCCACTTTAACTGCCCTGACTCAGTGCTAGGGAATCATGGGAATTGTATTTTTTTCTGAGACATTGAGCCTTCTTTGTCAGAGAGCTCTGGTGCCACAATAAACTACAGTTCCCATGATTCCCTAGCACTGAGTCAGGGCAGTTAAAGTGGTCTCAATTTGCACTATTTCTAGCAGTCTGCAAAGGCCCTAAGTCTCTCCTCACAAGGCATGGTTTCCAGATAGGATAGAAGTAACCTACCCTCTCCTGCAACCACAGTGTAATTTCCAGAACAGATTTACTGGGGAAACATGAGAAAATCCTATTGCACAAGTGGATGTCCACTCATACATTAACCCTACCCACTGTGTACTACTGCCACTCTTCTCACATCTGATCTCTTCTCATTTGGCTAAACCACATTAGATATTATATCACACTCCTTTGCTAAAATAAAATACACCATAACACAATTTAATTCTACTGAGTTACTTTTCTTCTACTTGGAAATTTACCTATTGATAAAATATTGATTCTGGTGCTTAATCTGGGAATCTTTAATATTAAGGAAGGCTTCTCTTATTCTCCTTTCCTTTCAGGGAATACTACAGTAGATCCTTATTATCAGCTGGAATTTGGTTCCAGGAACTCCTGTGTATACCAAAATCCATGGATGCTCAAGTCCCATTAAATACAATGGCATAGTAAAATGATGACCATTATATAAAATGGAAAATCAAGGTTTGTTACTTGGTATTTATACTTTTTTGGAATATTTTCAAGCCGTGGATGCTTGAATCTGTGGATAAAAAATATGTGGATCAGGAGGGCCGACTGTATTAGAAACAAGCATGATCTCTCCCCGCTCCTCAAATTTAGAAAGACCTGATAGATGAAGTACACAGTGGGCAATGGTAAATTTAACACAAAATGTCATTTAACACTACAGGTCTCAACAGCTGAATTAGCTGCCATCCTAGATCTTGTCTAGGGTCCAAAACACACTGCAAAAATAATCCAGTTTGAGACGCATTAACTGCACTGACTGCTAGGGAATTCTGGAAACTGTAGTTTTGTGATATGGTGAGCCTTCTCTGTCAGAGGTCTAGTGCCACAATAAACTACAATACCCAGGATTCCCTAGCACTGAGCCAGGACAGTTAAAGCAGTCTCAAACTGGGTTATTTCTGCAGTGTGTTTTGGACTAAGGTCAGCCCAACAAGAGCTATCTGCAAGAGCTCCAGCAACCAGCAGACACTACATCCCAGCACAGGAATTCAATATGAATAAAGCAGGCTGAAAATGTAAATAGAGCAGAGGATTATGCAGGGAGCCCTCATCCCCATATACCATAGGGTTCTAGCCTTGCCTCTTTTAGTTCAGACCTTCCCTTATTCAACAATGAAAAGTGTTCTGGTTGCAAGTTAAACTTTTCATTCATCTGATAAAGCAAGGGTCTGTGTTGGAAAACTGTACTTGTTTTCAAGAGAATGAAAACAATTCTTTCCAAGACCTTACTGATTATAAAAGCAAGGGTCTGAGGGGCTGACCTGTTCTGGGATATGAAGTAAGGTGTGCACAGCCTTGTACCTGCACACATTCAGGCTGAATGTCTGAACAGGGCTTATAGTCCACTTAAAATAGGTCTGTGGTTCACTAATTATGCTATCTTTCTTTACCTATGAACAAGTATGTTTGTTTTTATTCACACTAAGCAGAGAATCAGGAATTTAATTTGCAGCAAACTAATAAAAAGGCAATAGTGCAGTTCTGAAGACTAAACAGAATCATGTTCAAATCAAATGGTGTTTTAAAATCTCTGACAAAGAAGCATTATTATGCAATCACAACCACTAAAGAAAGATACATAAATATTTCAAAATGGTATTTTTATTTATGGAATTCAAAGCAACAGATATAGCTACTATCAATTCAGAGGGTTATGATCAGTTTTCAATTTGCACCGATGTAAAATCCACCAGTGATTCTTTTATGTGCAGTGGGCACATTCGCTTTAACAGATATTCTGACGAAGTCAAAGTAGTGGCAAGTAACAACAGTTACTTTTTCTACCAAATATGTCTTCTAAAAATGTTCTAACCAATATTGTAGTGGGATTTCACATAAGGTTCAGCAAACTACAAGAGGAACATGTCTATTAACTCTAAAGGATAATGGGGGAGGGCAATCTATTTTTCCTTCCATTTATATAAACAGAGCACTATGCTACTTAAAGAAAATGAAAAGACAACTGTATTTAAACTATGAAAATAATCTTTATTTTAAAAACTTTTAATAGTGAAATGTCATATGCTGAATTTCTCTCACACACATTCACATTCACACACACACACTTCACTTTCCTGCCTTTGGAACCTTCTTATATGCCATCACCTCAACTAAATCTTGGAGAATACATTAACAATTTAATTCTAAGAAGCGAGTTTAATTCCAGTCCCTTTAAAGAGCATATATGAGCTATATCTCTTTAGACTGATCATCATCCTCAAGTTTCTTGATTTCATTTTTCAAGCAGTTGATAGTTTCACGACTTGCTTTTAATCTTTCTTTAAGTTCAGCAATCTCAAAACTGGTTTTTTTCTTGGCAGCTTCTAGCTTCTCTCGGGTTTTTACCTCTACATTGGCAACTGGAAGGAAGAAAGGTATACAGCATTTATTATCAGGCCATAATCACTCCAAAGTATATATGAATATTTAGCAAAAGATCACAATCCCACTTCATCTACTGTATTTTCATGCCTTGATGGACATTCAAACATGTGTATGCAGATATTTAACAAGTCTGATTTTTTTATATATAATTCAAGTCTACCAGTAGCTTAAACATTGTATTTTAAGAAGCTAGAACTTATGTTAACAGACATGACACAACATTTATGTTAATAGATATGACACAACAGACAGTATTTTGCACTAGACTGTTTTTAATTTTGCTAGGATGCTGCTATTTGTTGCTTCAGAGCTGTGTTTTCTTATACAGTAGGCTTTGGTATCCACTCGGATTTGGTTTCAGCCCCCCCTCCCCCCATGGATACCAAAATCTGTGGACACTCATGTCCCATTACATACAACAGTGTAGTAAAATGGTGTTACTTATATAAAATTGCAAAATCAAGGTTTGCTTTTTTTAATTTAAAAAATATATATTTTCAAACCATGGATGGTTGAATTTGTGGATTCAGAATCTGTGGATACAGAAGGCCAACTGTATTGCATTTCAAAATTGATCAGAATGCACATCTATCTTCTGCAGGTTGATTGCTCTCTACCTGCACTAACAAAGGTGAGAATCAGAAGGGGTTTCATGCAAATTATTGTCATCATAAAAATAAATGTAAATAAAACTAAATTCTTCTTTCAAACTATATTTAATATAAATTATAAAGAATCATGTAAAGTTGTGTACCTATACTTTCATCCTCAAAAAAGGGCAAAAGAGTATTTAAAACCAAATTCTAATACAACCAAACTTTACATTGTAGCATTCAATGCTTACACTCTGTTTCATGCTTATAAGCACCAAGTGTTAACTGACGAGATGTGGTCAACAGCTGCTGCATCATAGCAGTTGGATCCTGAAAAATCTAAGGAAGAAAAAGTAATGAATTTCTGAAGCTAAGATAAACACATTTTCTTTAATGCTTTGCTTTCTTACCATCTCATCATAAAATTCAGAAACAACAGTTTTCTTCCCCAAGATTGCATTAGTATCAGATTGAAACAGCTTCAAAAGATGATACAAGGTCACCTGTGCAAGGAAAAAAATCTATTTAGTATAAACTACAAAATCTATGCTACAAGAAAATTGAATATTTTAACTTTCTGCATATCGGGACAAATTTTAATCCTAAAAGCATATTAATTACTATAGAAAAACCAGTTATCTAGGCATTATATTATACAGTTGCCCATCCCATTTCACGGGGGATCCGTTCTGGATCCCCCTGCAAAAATGGCAGCTCACTAATATTCGAACCCCATTGAAACTAGTGGCGCGTGTGGCTGTGGCCCACATGGGGCCATTTTAAGTATGCCAGTTGTCCTCCCCACAAACAGCGAGACCACAGACATCAAGTCCGCAAACAGGGAGGGACAACTGTATATTCAAGCATTGTATTTGTCCATATACTTTTCTAATTTCTAAATTTGGTTTCAATGTTTTTATATATATATATATATATATATATATATATATATATATA